TCTCCCAGTTTTCTGGCCAACAATCCCCCAAATAAGATTGTTTTTTCCTTCATGGCTGTTTGTGTGCAATGTAGTGCTTTGGGACGACCTCCTGACATGAAAGCTCTTTATAAGTGTAAATTGTATGACAAGAATCATAATAATAATAATAATCCTTACAACTGGAATAGCAGCTTTCACTACGGGATGACATCCCGGGATACACTGTAGTGACTGTATTTTGTGGGTGAACAAAACACATTGTGTCATATTGCTCTTAAGGTAATATCTTGTGATGTTCTTTGAGATGTTTCAATGGTGTGATTTTTAGCCCGACATCAAAATCAAGGGTTATTATGGTCTGGGCGGGAGCGAGATGTATCCAGGGGTGATGGGGTTACATTTTATAGGCCGCTTCTCTGGAACGTGGGAAACTTGGGAGCGTGTCAATCTGCCGAGCTTGGCAGCGTGATCTTGTCTGAGGTTTTCACCTTTATTTGGCAACGGCATTGCGGGTAAAGTGATGTGTTCAGCCAAGATACGGAAATATACAAATTGGGTAAATGTGGGGATAATTGCAAATAGTGTAAAGTGTGAAAATTGCACAAATGTACACACTGTGCGCATTACATAATTGTTTGAATAAGGAACCGACTGGAGAAACCATATCAATGAATCACCTAAATCACTACAAATGTCACTGACAGTGCTTTCAGCCACTGTGCCCCGAAGCTCTGGATTCCCTCCCTCAATCCCTCCGCCCATTGCCCCCTCCCTCCCCACTTTCAAATCCCATCCAAAGACCTTACATTTTGATTGTGTTCACTGTCACCTCTCCCCTCCCTCTACCCCTGGATCGGGGTCAGACTCCACCTCTGTCAAGCGCTCTGGGACGCTGCCCCGCGTGAAGGACGCGATATAAATGCAAGTTGTTGAATATAAACTCAAGTCTAATAAGTGGAGACATTGCTATATGGGGGCGGTGCTGCCGCCATCTGGTGGTGACAAGATGAACGGCAGTGGGTTCCAGGACCAACATCTGTCACTGAAGCACTCGCCCAGTCAGTCATCGGGTCCTTTTCCATGTTGTTTAACCATTCTTTTCACCTCTCTTTCATTGCTTCAGGCACTCTTCTAAGGGCTTTACTAACGGTTGGACTATTTCTCTTAGCGTTGTTTTATATTCTCCCTTCATCAGTCCTCTATCACCTGACAGTATTTCTCTACAATGTTGTCAGTCTCCAAATGTTTGCATTCTTCTGGTGTTGGTGGACACAAAGTGCAGACAGTGGTAACACTCACACCCACACCAGGACTTTCAGCTCACAGCCCTGGATGGCCCTCTGGTACAGAGCTGAGGGAGTTAATATAAGGTCCTGTCTGTGCCTATTCAGGTGAATGTATACAAATCTCACACAACTAATGAATAGAGAACTGTCGCTGTTACAAGAATCAAATCATTAAAGCCATTCTGTCCTGAGGAGCAGTCGCTGCCCACACACTGTGTGTGCCCCACACTCCCGCCTGCAACTGTCCTGCTCCTCGAGCCCCTCACTCCTCTTTGTGTAATGTTTCTGTCTCCCTCAGCTCCGGCCTCTCCGACTCTGGATCCTGATACCAGGACTCTGGGTATTTGGAATTCAGTGCCAGGACGATAGGGATCGACACCAACATAAGTTTTGAAAAGGTTTCCGTGGGCCTTCGCTGTGTGTCCTCCCGTGGGCTCCCCTCTCCTGTCACACTGAGCAGCCTCACCATCCTCACTGGCCTTCACAGGGGCCGGGGATACCCACTGTCACTCAGATTGTTTGAATCACTGATTCACTATCTTCTGTTCCTGGGATTCAAACAATTGCAATTTTTTTTACGGTAAAGCAGTAAATGCCGGGACCGACATTGGAATGACACTCAGCTGGAAATTCCGGCTCTCCAGACGGGATCTCCCCCATTGGTCCGGCCTCGAGCCGGGGGTTCAGTGTAATGAGCCACTGTAGCCGCCAGACAGCACAATCAGCACCAGCACCGCAACAGCTCGTCTGGATTAACATCATTCAGAGCATCAGAGGAACCTGACACCCAATGTGTGGGAGCAAAACGTGAGCCATCTGTGTAAAGCTCATCGCCAGCTCGTCTCTGTGCTCGTGTTGGGAGAATCTGACTTGCCATCCAGTGTGTGACTCACACGCTCTGAGACAGGGATATATATCGCTGATATCTTTCTCTCCAGCAATGCCCAGTCTCACAGTCGGGGCTGTGCTCAGAATCTCACTGAAATCTCCCAAATCACTTTTATATCTATAAACAGGTGCCGTGTTGTTCCCCAGTGAGCGGCCGCGTCTCACTGTGTATAAACACCGTGTGTTTTCAGTGACAGATTTTATAATCTGTAACATTTCTCTCTCATTCACTGTAACAATCGCCCAAGAAGCGACATCTTTAACCTTCTTTAAGCCGAGGTCACGTCTGTGTCTGTTCAAGTGGATATTAATATCCAAAAATATTGTCATTCACTTGCAAAATACTGTCACAATTTACAATAAACCATATTATTATTATTTTATGGCCAATCATTATACACAGTCTACACACACCCCTCACCCTCAGATACACACATCCCTCACAGTCACCCCCTGACCCACACCCTGAGATGTCTTAACTCCCTCTCCCCCTTATGTACAGAGACCACACGGATAACACAGCGCTGAGACACCGAATGCCCACCTCCTCCTCTGACCCTCATTACTCTCTGCTCCAGTGGTTGTTTCTGATCCAGTTGTTGCTTCCCTCTCCAGCCTCACCGGCTGCTCCATGTTTGGGGTTTGCTGAGACATCTCAAAATGCTTCAGAGAACATACTGTAATGTGTAGTGACTGTGTGTTCTGTGGGCGAAATGCTGCAGTGAAGTGTGCACAGCAGTGACCCACAAACAGTCATGAATTGAGTGACCAAATTAATTTTGGGGAGAGATTATTACCCCCAGAAAGCGATCCACCATCCAATTATCAACCAGGTTCCTACTTACCGCTTGGCAAAGAGAGGTGTGTGGTGTAAGGAAACTTGTCTAAGGTTTCGCCCCACCCAGGAATCTCTCACTTGTGAGGCGAGTGCTCTCACCACTGAGCTATAGGACTCTACTGTTTTCAAGAGGAAGCCGGACCTCCTAAACCTATCCTCACCCCCTCCCCTTTATGGGGGGCGCAGGCAGGTCAACAACACACAGGATGGGCACACGTGTCTGTGACGCTCCCTTTAAGCACAGTCAGGAGACCTTCGCATGAGGGAGAGGAGGATTGAATGGAATGGGAGGCAGTAAGGAATGGGTGGGGACTGATGTGGAATATAAACACCGGCACAGACTGGTTTGGCAGGTTCTGTGCTGTAAATTCTTTGTAAATTGAAGTGTAACTCGATGCCGAGCCCCTGAGGTGCCCGACTGAGACATTTCCCAAATCACTGGCGGCAGAAACATTCACAAACTGTGTGAATTATCCTCCTCCACCGCTTGTCCTCCCACCTCAACCTTCAAGGCCCTGTGAGTAGTTTAGTTCGTACCTCTCCCACCGTTTGCACTTTGTCTCCACAAATGGTTTTTCCTCCAGCCCTGCACTGTCTCGTGCGGTGTCCCTCAGGGCTCTGTCCTCGGTCCCCTCCTCTTCACCCTCTATATGCTCCCCCTACGGTGACATCATCCGCAGACATGGGGTTAACTTCCACATGTATGCAGATGACACCCAACTCTACCTTTCCTCCTCTACCCTCAACTCCACGATCCCCGATGTCCTGACAGCTGTCTGTCCGACATCGAGTCTTGGACGAGAGACAACTTTCTTCAGCTCAACGTACGCAAAACTGAGGCCCTCCTGATTGGCTCACGTCAGCGCCTCCGCACCTCAGGCACTGACAGCATCAGCATCCAAGGCTGCACTCTCCACCTCTCAAAGTCAGTCAGGAACCTCGGGGTTCTGTTCAACCCTGAGCTGTCCTTTCTCCCCCATATCCGCGCCACAACTTGCACCGCCTTCCACCACCTCCGGAATGTCGCAAGACTATGGCACTACCTCACCCCTCACGCTGCTGAAACTCTGGTCCACGCCTTTGTCACCTCAAGGCTAGACTATGGGAACTCTCTCCTCGCCGGCCTTCCCGGCCCTCACTCCACACTGCAGGTCATTCAGAACTCTGCAGCTCGTGTACTGTCCCGCACCAGACACCGCGACCACATCACTCCCACCCTCGCTCGCCTCCACTGGCTCCCCATCCCCCAGACGATCAAATTCAAGATCCTCATCCTCACCTACAAGGCCATTCACGGCCTTGCTCCCTCCTACCTCTCCGACCTACTATCCCCCTACCTACCTGCCCGTACCCTCCGTTCCTCTGGCTCTGGTCTGCTCCACATCCCCCACCCCAACCGCCCTACCATCGGTGGCCGGGCCTTCGGCCTCTCAGCCCCGAGGCTCTGGAACTCTATCCCCCAGTGCCTTCGCCGCTTCCTCCCTTTCCTCCTTCAAGGCCGGTCTCAAGACCTTTCTCTTTGACCGTGCCTTCAGCTCCCCTCTCGACTCTCTACCCCCTCCTTGCTCCCTCCCTTCCTTCCCTCCCCTCACCCTCACCATTTCCCCCCTGCTTGGGTCCTGACCCAACTGTACAGCGCCTTGGGACGTCCTCCCAACATGAAAGGCACTCTATAAATGGAATCTTGTGGTTGTTTTTGTTGAATTACACACAGACCTGGGAATGGCAATCTGTGTTTCCACCTTTTGGGAATATGTTGAATCTGCCCCATGTTGATGCTGTGTTTGCAGAGACTGTCATTAATTCTGCCACTCAGTCTATTCAGTCTGTCACAGCCCGTCAGCAAGTCTCCACTATTCACAGACTCAGACAAAACCAGACTGAGACACACTGTCACCAACACTATATTTATTATATCAAGACTCGACTTCATCTCCACAGGATGTAGATCATCCAGAACCGCACCTACTCCGCAATCCTATCAGCCCCGCACTCACTTGATTCCAATGGCTTCCCATCCCCAGAGGATAGAGCTCAAAATCTTCATCCTCTCCATCAAGGCCCCCCACGGCCTTGTCCCTTCCTCCCTCTGTGACCGACTGAGCCATTACCAACCAAACTGGGCAGAGAAGCCGCACAAAGGCTGTGACAGGACAGCGGAGCCATCACCGCACCTCACGCAGACTGACAGACACAGCGGGAACGGGATGCAGTGGCTCCGGACACGGCTCTGGGCCTGAGAGCCGCGGTCTGACCACCTGCCACAGGCGGGAAGTGTGTGAAGGGACACAGTGGCCGCCACACACAGCGGGTCCTGGGGGTCACTGGTTTACCGCACACACCACACAAGTGCGGGAAGGGCGGAGAGTGCTCGAGGAGCGAGTCCCGGCAGCTGCTGTCTTACCTCCCGCAGGAAGAGCTTCACACGAGGAGGAGGAGATGGCGTCGGTTATCTGTGGTGACGACCGGATGTCAATAGCGTTTGAAGTTGATTTGGGTTTGAGTTATAAAAGGAAATGTTGTTGAACAGTGAACAGATAAAGAGATGGTGTGGACATGTTTACGCCACAGAATTCGATAGAATTCAATCCAATATCAGGCATAGCGAAACCTTGGGCAAGTTTCTTTACTCCACACAGAGCCTAATAATAATCCCTCCAAAACAAAACAATAATACATTGGTCATTTTCAACCCATGACTGTTTGTGGGACATTGCTGTGTGCAATTGGCTGCCGCGTTTCACCCACAAATATACTGTCAATTCACTTTACAGTCTATTCTGTGAAGCGCTTTGACACATATGATGTGAAAAGCGCGATATCAAATGCAATGATTATTATATTATTATTACATATTTCTTTGTAGATAGAATACATATTTACATGTTCCTCAAAAAGAAACAAATGCCATAAGAGAATGAAGAAACACAACACGTTATTTTACCATTACAGGACGTGACAGCCCCGACCCCTTGTGGTGGGGGGTTGGGGGGGAGGGGCTGCCATTGCGCACTCCACTTTGGTGGAGGGACCAAGGCTCCCCCCCCCCCCCCCCCCCAGGGATCTGCTGCCCGTTGCGGGATGTGCTCACATTTCTTGGGGGGAACGCTCCCATTAAGCACAGTCGGGAAACGCCCCGTGTGCACCACAGACATGTGTGACTGCACACACCCTGATAAGGGGCACTTCCATTTACAGATGTCACTGCAATGTGTACCGTAAACACATATAATTACACTAACAGAACACCCCGAGACATCGAACACAAACCATACACTGCAATAAACACACAACCAGTCAACCCCCTGTCACTGTGTGAGGTTAGTGACTGAGCTCAGTCACTGTGTGAGGTTAGCGACTGAGCTCAGTCACTGTGTGAGGTTAGTGACTGAGCTCAGTCACTGTGTGAGGTTAGTAACTGAGCTCAGTCACTGTGTGAGGTTAGTAACTGTGTCTGTGCAATGATACACACAGTAACTACACTTTACAGTGAAATGCTGTGAGATTCCACTCATGAGACATGAAAGCTGTTATATCAAATACAAAGGTTATTATTGTAATCATTATATTACCACCTGCACCAGTACAAAGGTGAGATAGTGTCTGACCCCAACCGGCAACACACCTTAATAAGCCGAGCTCTCATCATCCACACATCCCCACCCATCAGGGCATCTGGTCTGTGGGGAGGAACAGGGACACTGACCCTGTTATATAACAGTATAATAATTGTTATATTTTATAACAGATTATATTCTGTTTTTAATGGCTTTTAGTTCCCGACTCAATCTTGATCACACGGAGAAGGTCACAATGTTAAGATCTGCCCCCGTGTCCTCTCCCGCTCCAGGTTGTGTGAGTCTATCACCCCATCCCAGCTCAGCTCCATTAGCTCCCCATCCCCAGCTGATCAAGTTCCAGATCCTTGTTTCACCTTGAAAGCTCTCCTCGGTGTTGCCCTCCCAACCTCAGCAAACACCTCCAACCATACAGATCTGTTACACATTAACCTGGAAATCAATCACGTGGGACGTTTTCTGTGGATTGAAGATTATTCCAGGGAAACGTGAGGGTGTAACCAGGGTCTCAGAGCAGGAATGTTAGTTACTGACAGCAAGTGATGAGCAACAGTCAACACTAACAGTGAAAATCACAGGACTTTTCCCCACTCGATATTGTAGGGAATATTTGAACTGCCCTTTCCCTGTTTGTGTGGCTATAATGTGATTCCCACAGAAACCGAAAGCAGATTAGCCTCTGGACATCGCCATCCCGGACACAGGTTTAATTTACTGTTAATAGTGAAGATTCTTCTCTTTCAATGCAAAACCTAAACAGGTCAGTGTCGGAAATTGTTTTCTGAAATGAACTATTATTTTACCATTAAAATAACGCCGTAACTTTACTGCGATTCCAGTTACAGGATTCACCGGTTTCACTTTCACATGTGGTGATGTGGAGTTTAAATATGAAATAAATGTTCTCTATTGTCAGGTTTGTGTCAGTAGTAAAGCGGGAGCTCTGCAGTCAGTTTATTCCCAGTTTGTGGTTTAAACGCTGAGAATTGGAGGCAAGTGAGGAGGGAAGGGAATGGGAGCTCCTCTCTGACCTGCACCATGTTGGGGTGAATAAGGAGCGGCTGTGAGGAGGGGGAGGGGAGGGGCACATTACAGCAGTTACACATAACATGTTTCTTCCCCAAACCATCTCATGGAGACCCCAGTGCGGGGCCAGGGGGGGCCTCACTGTCACAGTTAAAGATCCCACATCACTATTCCAACAGAGAAGGCAGTTTGTTCGCTGTGGGTGTAAATGCAAAGAACATGTTGTAAGATCACAGAGTTATTAATTATGTTTTATATTTTATTGATTATATTTGATCACAAATCTCTGTGTGTAATGATCTGATTTGCTGTGTTGTAACCAGTTCTGATCTCATTGTGAAGGTCCTCGAAGATGAGCTGCAAACACTGTATTCAGGTCCTATGGCTTGTGCTTCCCCTCTCACTGACTGGTAAGGAAACACATTGGATCTGTTTGATTTCTGTTGGAATTAAATTGCTGAAGGTAAAGGCAGAGCTGCTGAAGGCAGTGGTCGGGAGTGAGTGTGATCCACACAGTGAGAGCTGCGTGATTGAGGTGTCTAAATAGTGAAGGGAATTGTCAAGCTAAAGAGTGGACAACGTTTCCCTCTGGTAAAACAAAGGGACATAAAATCTCAAATTATAGCTAACCTGGTTATCAGTGAGATCAGCCAACATTTCCTCACAGAGTGTTGTGAGAATATAGCATCGAAACATCTCAAAGCATTTCTTACTGTGAAATGCAGGTGAACACATCAAATTCTCTTCTCTTTTCAAGTAGAGCCGCTGGATGTTTAGTGTCACATAACCTCGTTTTAACATCTCATCAGAAGGACAGCACCTCTGACGATGCGACAACAATAACAAAAAACAAATTACACTTGTAAAGAGCCCTCCACGTCAGAAACACGCCCCAGAGAACCGGACAGTCAGGGGTTTTTAGACCCGAGCTGGGAGTTGGGGTCAGGAAGGCTGGAGGATAGGGGGTTGGGAAGGTGGCCAAAGGTATGGTTGAAGGGAAAGGCCTTTAGAAGGTCGTTAGAAGGGACTTGAAGGAGGCAAGAGAGGGGGTGAGATGGAGGAACTGTTGGACAGGATTCCAGAGTGTGGGGGTTAGAGATGCTGAATGCCTGATTGGCATTGGTGGGGCAGGAAGTGCAGGAGACCTGAAGCAGCCCAGTGTCCACGGAGTGGAGGGAACAGACAAGCTGATATGAGGTGAGGTGGTCAGAGTGGTAGGGGCGGGGGGAGCAAGACCATGAAGGGCCTTGAAGATGAGAACGAGGGTTTTGTACTGGATTCTCTAAGGGATTGGGAGCCAGTGAAGCCGAGCAAGAACTGGGGTGATAGGTTCCCGGAGCCTGGTGCCGGAAAGGACACAAGCTGCAGAGTTCTGAATAATCTGCACTTGTGGAGTGAAGAGTTGGGAACTACAGCGAGCAGGCAGTTGGCGTAGTCAAGCCAGGATGTGATGAAAGTGTGGATCACAGCCTCGGGCGGGCCTGCAGTGAGAGGCAGGGCTGGGTGTGGGCATGTGGCAGAGTTTGGGAAAGGCAGAAAAGATCACGGCACAAATATGGGGTTTGAAGGATGGCTGAGGGTCGAAAAGGACACTGTGTTTTCGTTTTGGTTCAGTGAGGTGAAGAGTGCAGCCACGAATAGTGATCATGTCAGCAGATGAGGTGAGGAGGTGCTGCCGGGAGCCAAGCAGGAGGGCCTCTGTATTGCCGACATTAAGCTGCAGGAAGTTGACTCTCGTCCAGAACTTGATGCTAGACGGAGAGTTAGCCAGGACATCAACCGTCCTGGAGATTGATGGTGAGATAGAGTTGGGTATCATCCGCCTATACATTGAAATTGACCCCTTGCCTGCGGATGACATCACCAAGCAGGAGCACGTGTAGATTGAAGAGGAGGGGACAGAGGACAGAGCCCTGAAGGACACCACACATGACAGTGCGGGGGCCAGAGCAGAAACAGTTAGTGGACACGATGTGCAGATGGTGGGAAAGGTAGGATTGGAACCAGGTAAAGCTGTGCTCCCCCAGCGCGAGCCTGGAGTGTCAGCCTAGATTGTGAGCTCAGTGTCCTGACATGGAGTTTGGACCAACAATCTTCTGATTTAGAGCCACAGTAGTACTAACAGAGCCAGGCTGACACCTCTGTCTATAACAGAGAACTATTTATGGAGTCCTGTAGCTCAGTGGTTAAAGCAATCGCCTTTCAAGCAAGAGACCTGCGTTCGATTCCCGGCAGGGCGAAATGTTGGGCAAGTTTCCTTACTCCACACGCTACTGTTTACCTGGCAGTCAGTCGGAACCTGGTTGTTAGATGATTGGTGGATTGTTTTTCCAGAGATGATAATTCCTTAAAAAAACAAATAATAAATTGGTCACTCAATCCATGATTGTTTGTGGGACGCTGCTGTGCGCAACAACTGGCTGCTGCGTTCCGCCCACAACATACACAGTCAATTCCCTTTATGGTATATACTGTGAAATGCTTTGAGATGTCTCAACAATGTGATAAGGCGCTATATCAAATGCAAGGATGAGTGTTGTTTACAAGATTATAGCCAATGTCAGTTCAATTGTAGATGTAAAAAGGTGACTTCTACTTTATGTCAGAACTAATTGATATGTCAGTGACAGTCTATTGACAGAGTTTGTCTGAGTCAGTGACTAAAAATCCTGACTGTAACATTGTTTGTTATTAAACAGAGAGATTCACAGTCAGTGGCCCGGCCCTCCCTGTCCCAGCCATTGCTGGTTCAGATGTTGTCCTGGACTGTAAGTGTTCCATAGATCTGCCACGAGAGGGTGTGGAGGTGAGATGGTTCAGGACAAGATTCGAATCCCCTGTGCACTTATACAAGGACGGTCTTCATCAATTGAGGAAACAGGATGAAGCCTACAGACACAGAACACAACTGTTTGTGGAGGAGTTTATCAATGGTGATGTGTCTCTCAGACTGAGAGATGTGCGGGTGTCAGATAACGGAGAGTACACATGTTTTGTTGACTACGCCGGATCATATCAAGATGCACTGATAGAGTTGAAAGTTATAGGTCAGTAAAGTTTACAATTCATTTTATTTCATGTAATCTGTATGTACAAACATTCATTATTTATTAATGTTATGTTCAAAATGCAATACTTTATATAAACAAGAACAAGTTTTTGTTCATGCAAATTTATTCAGAATATTATAAATGTGTTTTCAGTAAAGTTACTGCTCTGTAATGTCCCGGTATTAATATTGTCTGATTCACGTCTCCTGTCTTCCAGGCCTTGGCAGTCAGCCTTGGATTCACGTTGATGGGCAGCACAGTGATGGTGTGAGGCTGCGGTGTGAATCCAGTGGATGGTTCCCAGCACCAGAGGTTCTGTGGTTTGATGATCAGGGAAACAACTTAACAACACTCGGTAACTGGACGGTCAGAGAGGATTCTAAAGGTCTCTACAGTGTTAAAGGCCAAATAGAAATAATCCATTCAACCAACAAGATCAGGTGTCTGATTCACAATGAAGAAAATGAACAAGAAGGAAAACTCCAAATCTCAGGTCAGTTAACACAGGAAATATTAATGATAGTCTGATATATATGATGTGGATTTGTACAATACATGAAGTGAAAACAAGATCAATGTGGATTAGACTCCAGTTGAAAAAAAACCTTTGCTTCACTTGATCTCATCCTCCCAAAATACCAAACCCATCATTACATCACCAACCTGTTCTTGTTCCTCAGCGCTTGCTCTGTGAGATGTGACCATGACAGTGGGGACAGCCTCAGAGTTCTCAGCACTGACCTTAGGACCTTATGTTGGTATTGAGCTTTGGTGACCAGACGTGTGTGCAGCTCTCCAGGAGTGGCCGAGCTGGAGAACTGTGCTACTTTGTTCTGGGGTTTCACGTGATTTAGTGATAGAGCACAGCCTCCTGTTGGCCTTATTTATTTCTGCCTCACACTGTTTTAATGATGAACAGTGATGATGATGACGATGATGATGATGATGATGATGATGATGATGAGTCAACAACACTGGGTCTCTGTCAACTTTACACTCATTCCAACCAGGGAATAAATGTGGCTCCGAATTTGATTTCGACACATAATGTAATATTATGTCTGGCTCAGTAGTAGAACTCTTGCTTCTGAGTCAGAAGGTTTTGGTTCAAGCTCCACGTCACAAATTAGAATCATATTCGCTCCTTCTTACCTTTGTGACCCGTTAACAACATATCGACCTGGCCACTACCTTCACTCAGCAGACTCCAGCCTACTCCATGTGCCCCACCATTGGCGGTCAGGCCTCAAACCTCTCTGCCCCCACCCTTTGGAACTTCATCTCCATCTTGCCTCCTTCAAGACCCTTCTCTTCGACCTTCAGTCACCCTCCTACCCCTGCCCTCCGCCCCTCCTGATCCCAAACCCCTGCTCGGGTCCTCATCCCTGACTGTCCAGCGCCTTGGGACATTCTCCCCATGTGAAAAATGCTGTTGTGGAGTCCTGTAGCTCAGTGGTTAGAGCACTCGCTTTGCAAGCGAGAGACCTGAGTTCAATTCCAGGCAGAGGGCGAAACCTTGGGCAAGTTTCCTTACTCTACACAGAGCCTAATAATCCTCCAAAACCAAAAAGAATAATAAATTGGTCATTTTCAATCCACGACTGTTTGTGGGACATTGCTGTGTGCAATTGGCTGCCGCGTTCGCCCACAAATATACATTCAATTCACTTTACAGTGTGTTCTGTGAAGCACTTTGGGACGTCCTCCCGACGTGAAAAGCACTATATCAAATGCAAGGATTATTATTATTATTATTACAAATTTGTTGTTGTTATTGGTTTCAGAATCTCTCTAACCTCTGAGATTACAATGCTGTTTTCCTTACACCCAGCAGTGATTTTCTATGAAACAAATTCTTGGAACAGTGAGATGTGACGTTGCCAGAGATAATACAGACGACGTAACATTGAAAATGAAGCCTGTGAGAGGCTTCTGTTGTGTGTAATACAGTCACATGGGGGTAAATAAAGGTATTTGCTGTTCTATATCAGAATAGATGTTTAAATGTTGATTTACGTTTCTTGACAGACGAGTTCTTTCCCAAAGTGCCAGTGGGTTTGGTGGTTTCCTCACTGCTCTTAGGACTTGCCATAATGGTGCTGAGTGTTCTTGTCGGCTATTGTGTAAAACAGCGCAGAAACATAACAGGTACGTTCCCAACAGTAAGATATTAATAAAATAAAAAATTATTTGATCACTCAATCCATGATTGTTTGTGGGATGCAACTGTGTGAAATTAGCTGCCATGTTTCACCCACAAAATAGACAGTAAATTCACTTCACAGTATATTCTGTGAGGCGTTTTGAAGCATCTCAATGATAAGGTACTATAGCAAATGCAAAATCATTGTCATCATCATTATTACTGTTATCTCTCATCATATGGTACACTACAGAATACAACAACAACAAAATTACATTTGTATAGTGCCTTTCAAATCAGGAGGACATCCCAATGCTCTGGACAATTAGTGTTTCAGACCCGAGCTGGGGGTCGGCATCAGGGAGAGTGGAGGGTAAGGTAGAAAGAAGTGTGACCCAAGGTACGGTCTTGGAGGTTTTTTGGGGGGTGTTGTGGTAATGCAGGGTGGAGGGTAGAGATGGTAGGAGGGCAGCCGAAGGCACAGTTGAAGAGGAGGTTCTTGAGATGTTTCTTGAAGGAGGCAAGGGAGGGGACGAGGCAAAGAGAATGTGGGATGGAGTTCCAACGGATGGGCGCAGAGATGCTGAAGGCCCACCTCCCAATAATAGGGTGGGCTGGGCATGGGACATGGAGCAAGCTGGAGCCTGCTGAGCGGAGGGAGTGGGCAGGTTGATAAGGTCACAGAGGTAGGAAGGGGCAAGACTTAACAAATAATGGTTAGTTACTGGTTGTACAGTTTCAGGGCCTTTTTCACAGTTGGTGAGAATAACCCCTAACATATATACATATCCATACATTACAATATAATACAAATGAACATTTATATAGCACCTTTCATGTCAGGAGCACATCTCAAAATGCTTAGCACTGGCTGTGCTCCCGATCTGAGTGTGGGAGTCAACTGAGGGGATACAATATGATAATCCTTGCATTTGATATAGTGCATTGTCACATGGTCAAGGTGTCTTTACAAGATTTTATTGACAAGTGTAGTAACTGTGTATTTGAAGGCAAATATGGTAGCCATTTTGAGCACACCAACATCCCAAAAACTGCCATAAAATAAATAACCAAATTTATCTTGTGTATCATTGCCCAGGACAACATAAGAAACTGTTCTTTTCGAATTGTGTCTTGGAATGCTTAATGTCCACCTGAACCTGCACAGGTGGGTTTAACATCTCATCCAAAGGATCACTGCTCCAACAATGGAGGAGAGGACACGTTTGTAGGGCTATGGGGAGAGTGTGGGGGAGTGGGATTGAATTAGAAGCTCTTTTCAAAGAGACGGCACAGACAAGATGGGCCAAATGGCCTTCTTCTGTGCTGTATAATTCTGATTCTCTGAATGCTCCATTGTTCCCAAATTGCACTGGAACGTCAGTCTAGACTGTGATCTCAAAGTAAAGTTAGGGTAAATATGTAGATTATCCATCAACATAAAACTGTATTGAGAATCGATTTGTAACTGGAGAAACCATTTTTCTGTATTAACAATTTTATTTTTTATTCAACAGATCTTCAGATAAGACTGGGTAAGCAAAATTATATAACTGTCTCTATTGTGTCAAAATCTCATTGACATATTTCACATTAGATCAATCGACTCCAAATAGTTACATTTCCAGTGAAATTATTTTTACACAATCATAGAGCCAGAAAGAGAAATGTTTATTAACTGTGAACAATTAGACAGAGAGCAAGAAAGTTACAGACAGAAAGTCAAACAAAGAGGGCCTCAGAGAGAAACTTTTTATATATATATAGAGAGAGAGAGTCGCATGGAGACTCAAAAAGCAGTTCAGAGAGAGGGAGGGATGGAGAGAGGGAGGTCTCCTCAGAGCTGAACTGGCTCCAAGCTGACGAGCCTGGAAGTGGAATGTCAGAATCGAGCGAACCCTCTGTGACGGTCTCCAGTCCAGTTCCTGATCCTGGTGGGTCCACAGTATTCCAGGGCACTCACTGCTAATGACAGCACAGCCAACCTGGCTCATTGGTAGGATCTGGAAGGGCAGAGCATTCACTGGAGGGATGAAGTCATCCCACTCAGCCCTGTTAACCCTGCAAGCCAAGCCCTCATGTGTAGGGTGGTCCGAGCCGCGGAAAAGTTTGCCAGACAGCAATGTCAATGGCAAGCTATGCAGTTTTAGCTGTTTAGACTCCAGCAGTTACCCCAACACAGACTCTGGGGACCAAGTATGGTGATGGGTTTCTGCACATGTCAGACACCGGCTGACCCCCAAAAAAGGAAGTGAGGATTGAACGTGTTCCAATATTTCTCTTGAGGCACTAATAATGGACTGGGATGAAGATCGTATAATAACCAAAAAGTGAAGGTGCTTAAACAAAGTGATGAGGATGGCTTTCTGGAGCATTGTGTTTCTGGTCTAATAAGGATCTCACTTGAGAATATGTTTAGTATCTGAAAGTTTCCCACTGTTTATCCGCCATCTTATCTGTCCTTTTTCCACAAAATTCATATGGTTAGAGACTTCTCATCTCATGTCTTTTCACCTCATACCTTTATCTTGGACTGTTCCATCTCTTTTATTATTACACATCAGCCCGGCTCAGTTAGTAGCACTCCCACCTCTGAGTCAGAAGGTTGTGGGTTCAAACCCTACATTGGGACTTGACATACAGTCTAAGCTGATGCCCCAGTGCGGTGCTGGGGCTGTGCTGCATTGTCAGAGATGCCGTCCTTCAGATGAGACATTAAACCGAGGTCTGTTCTGCCTGTTCAGGTGAATGTTAAAGATGCTTTGGCACAATTTGAAAAGAGAAGGGAGTTTCTCTCTCCTGGTGTCCTGGCCAATAATCCCCCAAATAAAATAGATCGCCCACTCTGTAGTTGTTTGTGGGACATTGCTGTTCACAAATAGGCTGCTGTGTTTCACCCACAAAATGCACACAGACACATTACCGTGTAGTGTATCATGTGAAGCACTTTGAGTCTTGACGACTTGAGAAGGTGTTATATCAAATGCAAGATATTCGGGTTTATATCAATTCCAGTTATGTTATGGTTATTGTTTGGGGCACGTTCCCCTTCTCTTACGCAACTTTCTTTCCAAACTTCATTAGCGCTAGGGCTGCCTCCCTCATTGCTGAAGAATATTCCAGAAAGTCCTGGTCAAATTGTACAAACACCTTCACTTTTTGGCCCTCACACGACCTTTATCGCAGTACATTATTATAGCCCTGTTGATTCTGCTTATCCTTCGAGTTTGTCAGAAAACTCTTCCCTGTTTATCAGCATCTCACACATTACAGTCTGTGGCTGGTGTGAACACAGCGGCAGCTCTCAGTGTGAGGGGCAGTGACTTTCCATGGTCTCGCTCATTGTACATTGTCTTCAAACGTGAAAACGCTCCTCATCTGCGTGTGTGGCAGCTGTCAAACCCCTGATCATCTCTCCTTTCTTCTTGTTTCTAGAGAGGAGAAAGTTCACCCCCTACGCAGGTAAGAGTCTCAGTAACCTGGGAACACAATAGTCACATAAACCTGCCACGTTCATTGTCAAACACAGTAATCCATGTTTATCACAATCCAGAAACTGGGGAAATCTAATCCATGGTTATACAGTTGGAGTTGAGGTACAGATCAGCTATGATCATATAGAACGGTAGAAAAGGTTCGAGGGGCTGAACTTCAACCATGGCCTTGCTCCTCCCTACCTTTATGACCTGTAACACCATAATAACTTTCCCACTCCCTCCATTCAGTGGGCACTGGTCTGGGGCATGTCCTGTGCTTTGCCCGTCCACCATTGGCCTTCAACCCCCACACTCATCCTCATATGCCCCCTCACTCACACCCTCACATCACCCCACACTCAACCACACACACACCCCCACACTCACCTTACATGACCCCCTCATTCATACCCTCACATCATCCCACACTCAACCACACACACACCCCCACACTCACCCTCACATTCCCCCAACACACACACCCTCACACACACACCCACACACTAAATCCCACCCCACACAAGCCCTCACATAACCACCCCCACACACCCTCACATCCCAGCCCCACACACATCCTCATATTCCCCCACACAGACACCCACTCATATCCTGTTTCACATACACCTTCACATTCCCTCCACACACCTTCACAACACACCCCCAAACACACCTTCACATTCCCCTCATACACGTGCTCATATACATCCCTATACACACACGCTCGCATCCCAACAACACATATACCCTCAACCCCCACACGTCCTCACATCCCCCGTCCACACATACCCTCACATGCCCACTCCACTCCCTGAGACCCCCTCCCACATGCAGACTCACGTTGCCACCAGACACCCTCACATCCCCCCCACATACACATGCTCACATCCCACCCACAGACACACATATTGCCCCCAAAGGCATCCTCACATCCCCCTACACACACCCTCACCTCCCCACACATACAATCTCTCACATCCCCCACACACCCTAACATTACCCCACACACACCCTCACATCCCCAACCACTCAAATAGCTCCGAACACAAACCCTCACCCCACACACACCTAAACCCCAAACACACACTCACATCTCCACACCAACAAACACAAACAAACACACACCCTCACATCCTCACACCCACAAGCACACACCCTGACTTCCCCCCCACAGTCACCCTCACATCCCCCCCAAACACACACATTCTCAAATGCCCCACATGCATTCTCACATGCCCCCCAAACACCATCACATCCCAACCCCACACACACCCTCACATTCCCCCCACCCACACACGCTCACATCACCCCCCCACACACACCCTCGCATACCCCCACCAAACACACCCTCACATCCCCCCCCCCCACACACACACCCTCACATCCCCCCCACACACACCCTCATCATCATCAACAACTTGCATTTATATAGCGCCCTCCACACAGTACAGCATCTCAGAGTGCTTCACAATAACAGATCCTGCAGCCGAGCCGGGGGGATGGGGAAAAAGGTGACCAAACAACAACAACAACAAGATTCCATTTATAAAGCGCCTTTCACGTCAGGAGGACGTCCCAAGGCGCTGCACAGTTGGGTCATGACCCGAGCATTGGGGAAATGGTCAGGGTGAGGGAAGGGAGGGAGCGAGGAGGGGGGAAATGGTCAGGGTGAGGGGAGGGAAGGGAGGGAGCGAGGAGGGGGAAGAGAGTCGAGAGGGGAGCCGAAGGCACGGTCAAAGAGAAAGGTTTTGAGACCAGCCTTGAAGGAGGAAAGGGAGGAAGCAAGGCGAAGGCACTGGGGGATGAAGGCATGGTCGAAAAGAAAGGACTTCAGCCGAGACCTGAATGTAGGAAGAGACTGCACGAGGTGAAGGGAATGAGGAAGGGAGTTCCAGAGCCTCGGGGGGTAGTGGCTGAAGGCACGGCCACCGATGGTGGAGTGGAGGATTCGGGGGATAAGGGTGGAGAGAAGACAATGAGCGCTAATGTGAGGAGAGAGATCAGAGAAGTCGGGGGGTGAAGACGAGTGGAGGGATTTGAAAACAAAAGTGAGGATCTTGAAATTAATCCTCTCTGGGACAGGCAGCCAGTGCAGTCTGGCAAGGACTGGGGTAATCGGGGAGCGGAGTTTGGTGCGGGTAAGAATGCGGGCGGCAGAATTCTGGATGACCTGGATTTTATGAATGGTAGTGGAGGGGAAGACCGGTGAGGAGAGCATTTGAATAGTTCAGCCGAGAGGTGACAAAGGTATGAACCAGGATTTCAGCGGCTTTTGGGGTGAGATATTGGCGGAGACGGGCAATGCGGCGGAGGTAGAAGAAAGCGGTGCTGGTGAGCGACCGGATGTGGGGGAGGAAGGATAAATGGGCGTTGAGCCTTGAGTATGGGTTTGGAGAGTTTTAAGGGCAGGTCGGGTAGGTGGAGGAGGTGGGAACTGTGCCATTGAAGACGTTGAAGAGATCCAAAGAGTATGGCTTCTATCTTGTCAACATTTAGCTGAAACAAATTTGCGCTTATACAGCCGGTGATAATTGACAGACAGCTAACAGAACATCAGGGGACTGGGGGTCACAAAATGAGGTGGAAAAATAGAGTTGGGTGTCGTCCGCATACATGTGGAAGTGTACCCCATGTCTGCGGATGACAACCCCAAGATCGAGCATATAGATCAGAAAGAGGAGGGGGCCAAGGATGGATCTTTGGGGTACCCCATAGGTAACCGGGTGAGAGCGGGAGAAGAAGCCGTTTGTGCAGATGTACTGCTGGCGGTTTGAGGTAGGACTTGAACCAGGCGAGTGCTGTCCCACTGAGGTGGATGATGGAGGAAAGGCGGTGGAGGAGGATGGCGTGATCGACTGTGTCGAAAGCAGCGGAGAGGTCTGGGAGGACAAGGAGGCAGAGGGAGCCCTGGTCACAGATAGAGAGGATGTCGTTTGAGACTTTCACAAGCGCAGTCTCTGTACTGGAGGCAGCGCGGTAACTGGACTGGAGGGGTTCGAAGCGGGAGTGGGAGGAGAGGTGTGCGCGGAGTTGATTGGCAACAACGCGTTCTAGGACTTTGCCAAGGAAGGGCAAGTTTGAAATAGGGCGGTAGTGGCTGGGGTTTGAGGGATCTGGGGAAAGTTTTTTGAGGAGGGGGATGATGACAGCAGTTTTGAGGGGGGCAGGGACTGATCCAGAGGAGAGGGACAGATTGATGACATCAGCCAGTAGTGCGAAGAGGAGCAGGAGCTGGGTGACCAGCAAGTTGGTGGGGAGGGTGTTGAGGCAGTAGGTGGTGGGTTTCATCAAAGTGATGGTGGGTGGAAGGGAGGAAGGAAAGATGGGGAGGAAGGAATGTAGGATGGGGTTTATGGTAAGAGCTGATGCTGGAGAGGGTGAGGGGGACGGAGAGGGTGTGGTGGTGGGTGACAAGAGGCAGGAGGATGAGGCTGCCTGGCCAACATTATTTATTTTAGTTGAAAAGATGTCCATGACCTCCTCGCACTTGGCATTTGATGCGAAGATTCAGGAGGCCTGAGGGGGCGCACGGAGGAAGTAATGGGTGGTTGGAAAAAAGGACTTTGGGATTGCTTTTTGCCTCCAAGATGATGTTGGAGTAGACGGTCGTTTTCGTCGCATCAAAGAACGGCGGTAGCTGTGGAGATGCTCGAGCCACAGTTGGTGGTGGACTGTCAGGCCAGTTTTCTGCCATCTGCACTCGAGCAGCCGGGTTTGGGTTTTTTAGGAAGCAGAGATGATTGTTATACCAGGGGGATCGGGTGGGTTTGGAGATGGTCCTGGATTTCAGGGGAATGAGTGTTGAAGGTGGAGAAGAGGTGATCAAGAAGCAGCTGGACGGCTGCTTCAGGATCTCTGCGGGTGGAAGGCCAGAGGAATAGGATATCGGAGGATGTGAGGGCCTTTGTGAGGTTCTTAGGGGGTAGCCTTATCATGGGTGGCAGAATATAGTTGAGGGCTTGGTGGAGGAGAGAGGGATGTGAGAGGAGAAGGAGATGAGGAAGTGGTCCGAGATGGCCTTGACCATTATGCGCAGGTAGGAAATGTCAAGGGCCAGGTGATGATGAGGTCGAGGGGATGGCCACAGTTGTGGATCGGTGAATTGATGTGAAGGGTGAGGTTTAGGGAGGAGAGGAGGGCAGTGAAGTCAGAAGATGTGGTGCAAGGGGGTTGAGGTGGAGGTTGAAATCGACCATTACCAGCAGGCGTTCAGAGCAGATGGACAGGGAAGAGAAGAGAGTAGAGATGTCAGAGAGGAAGGAGCCGGGGGCTTAGGGGGGTGGTAGACCAGAAGGATTTTCAGTGGGAAAGAGGGATGGAAGAGGGGAAGCAGCCAGAGGAATACGGGGAAAGACCAAGGGAAGCTTTGGAGATGAGGGCCACCCCGCCGCCACGTTGGTTTGGACGGGGGCTGTGGTGGAAGGTGTAGACTGGAGGGGATGCTTCGACCAAGGGGACGGGGTCATTGCGGGAGAGCCAGGTTTCTGTGAGCCGAAGAAAATCGAGGTGCTCATCCAGGATGAGGTCATCGTTGGTGAGGGGTTTCTTTGCGAGCGAACAGACATTTTGAAGGGAAATGCGGGTGGGTTTGCTGGTGGGAGGAGAGGGAGGAGGGAGTGATACGGAGAGGATTTTAGAGTGTACAGGAGAGATGGCTGTGGAGTGTGGGGGGAGTGGAGAGTTGGGGAGGGTACGTATGAGGGAGGGGGAAGTTGTGTTTGCCTTAAGGAGGCGGTTTGTGCGGAGGGAGTGAATGATGGGACACTTGGGGTCACTGCTCTGGGACAGTCAGTGCCTGGAGCCACGATGGGCCCAGCGGAGGCTGCCCAGGCTGGAGCAGAGGGAAGTGGTGATGGGGTCCAGGAGAGAGAGGTGGGGGGTGTGGGGGTGAGAGAAGGACAGAGTGGGAGTAGGGGATAGAGGGGTTGGGAGGAGAGACATTTAGAGTGGAGGGAGAGGCTCGGGTCGGGGCGGCAGCCAAAACGCGCA